AATATTTATATTTATATATAATAATTAAAAAAGCGATAAAAAATAAACAGACTTTTGTGATGAGATAATTAATTAAAGTAAATATATAATAATAAGGTTAAAATAGTAAAATTTTATCTTAACAAATAAAAAAACCACAATTAATTTCAAATAAATATAAAATAAAAAATAAAAATTATTTTAAAACATAAAAAGTATATTTTAAAATAGTGGAAGTATAAAAAATAATTATAAAACACTTATCAAGACTAGCACTCACAAATTAACAAAAACTTATTCCTTAAAAAAAAAAACTTAAAAAAGAAATATTTTTCCTTTATATCCTCTCACATTTAGATATTTTTTTTTAGGTTAAGTTCCACTCACAATTAGATACATTGTGTCATGTGGCTCATAATGAAACCATCTTCTCCATCCTAATTGGTATTTGCAAAAGTGGGGAGATAATTACATTCGATAGCTCAGTTCACCGAATCTCCACTTCTGCTGACCTAATAGCTAGAATTAATTAATGAACTAAATACCACTGTATTAATTAACCATTTTTAATAGAAAAATATGAAAATCAGAACGTTCTGATATCATCATTATAACCATTAAATAAATGGACTCTTGGTTGAAATCCATAAAATCAACGGTTGTAATAAATGTCCTAAGCATCAGGATGTCCTAAGTATCAGGTGGTCTTAATTTTCTGCAATTCCTTTTTTATACTTGCTGCCATTTTGACTTCTTCTGTTTGGTTGTTTCTTCTTATTTTTTTCTTGGGATACATGATGGGTTTCTTTCTATGGTTTGGTATTTGGGTCTTCGTGTGTCATGCCAAATTGTTATACAATCATGAAAAATGCGTTTTTCTTTTTCTTTTTTTCTAGGTAGAGTAATTAATAAGCCAATAAGGGAAGGTTCCTTACTTGCAGCATTTTTTTTTTTATTAATATCATTGACTTGAAACTAAGGATTCACGTCTGATGTGTTTAAATATATTTGATGAAAAAATACAACATTTTTTAGGAACAGCTAATTACTTGCATATAAAATAATTGGATACTTACACTAACTCATCTGTAATGAGGTGAGTTTCATATAGTTAAGATGCATGATCCCTGCCATTTGGTTGCTTGCTTAGGCACAAATGCTTTATAAAAATATGCTTTACTAGTTTAAATTGTAAAGTATTACTGTAATTTTACTAACAAAAACGTCAAACCCATAACCCATTTTACCATTAAAAAAAAAAAAAAAAAACCTCCCCATAACCCCATATTTGTGCCATGTATATTATTTTTTTTCACAATCAATTTCTTTTATAATTTTCACTCCCAGTCAATACTCTCTATAATTTAAAATCTACAAAAAACTTTAAATTATCAATAAAGTCAGATGTCTTACTGGTTTTAAATTATCAAAGAGTATTAATTAGGAATAAATATTTTTAAAAGTATTAACCAAGAGAAAAAATAAAATGCAAGGTGTAAATGAGGGTTTGGGTTAACCCATAAACCTACTAAACCACTATTCTCCATCATTCTCTATTTATTTTTGCCTATTTTATATAAATAATTATATGTCAAAAAAGGGAGGGTAAGCCAATTGAACAAGAAAATATAGCCACTTGAATTTGAACAAATGAGCCAATGTGGGATGCCCACAAGAATGTTTCCATAACAAATAAAAACAGCACAGCATGCTTCTGGGTAGCTTCCTAGAAAGTTCAGTTCACAGTAACTAAAGATTTTTTTGTTTTTAATGTTAATTAAGGCCAAAAAAAATTCTTGGGGCATATTCTTCCTTTGATGGATTTTGAATCTTCAACCCTGTTTGATAGGGATGGTTGCTTACATTTCTTTCTCTCATCTTGCTTTTTGGAAAAGGAGTAGCTCTATGGCATTCGATATCTCATCCTATTTCATTTTCATCTGGCTCTCCCAAGTTGATTATTTGGGGGTTTTTTTTTATAAGAAATAAAAAATACAAAGTTTTACATCATTAAGGAAAAAAATGATTTACTGAGTTATATAAAAAGATATTTTTTTTTTGAAATAAAACATCCAGAGTCAAAAGGATAATATATTAATAGTCATATCAACAATCAGTTGATTTAAATGAAAGGAAGTCGTTTCTCTTAAATAAGACATCGAGTTAAAATATTGTAAATAAAAAAATAAATATTATGAGAGTCTCCCCTTTATAGAGTATAACAAGAATTCATTTTAAATTAATCAAAATTTAATGTGATTTTTCAATACTAGAGAGTTTAGAAATAAAAAAAACAATAGTCAAGCCTCCACTAGTTTTCATTATATATGCATGTACCTAATTAAACAACTAAATGTTACACATAGTGACAATAGCAATAGTCATAAACATGTCCAATACACTCCCTTAATTACAGGTTGGATGTTCTGTAATCTAGAGATTGTGAGTTCGACCTAAATGTGTGGGGTTTTGTTTTCTTCTTTCTGTGCTTATTTTGATTTTCAAGAAATTAAAAACCAATGAAGAAAATTCTTTGGTTACGGGTTTTTTATTTTTTTATATAAAAGTCCCACTACATAAATATTCTTTAAATTTCCAAAACCAATAAAATTAGGTTTTTGGCACATGAATTTTACGATTTAATGGCTATAAATCAATCTATTCTCTTTACCCTCAAATTGTAAACTTTTTTTTTTAAAAAAAAAAAAAAAAAAAACCCCAAGGGTTTTAGGTTTGGTTTTTAGAGTTTTGAAAGTGATAACAAACCATGCGTACATAATTAAAACTTATACTGCCTGTAGTGTTGTTTCCTTAGAATAACATGATCAATTAGATGACATTTTAATCACGGTCATTGTACCGTGCATGTCTCCAACATTGGCCTTGTTTTTTTTATCTTGTTTCAGAGTCCTAACTAGCTTGTGTCGTTTACCATAATCCAAGACAAAACAAGACATGATTACCATTAATTATAATTCAAAATGCATGTATTGGGTCCATGTATGAGTCATAAAAAGATTATCTGAATATATCCACGATGCGACAATATTGCTCTATGCCAAATGAAACGAAGGTGCACCACACAATGCGCAAAAAGTACAGAATTTTTTGCGCAAGCCCTATGATGGGATTTTACGTCTGCTCTCCTCTGGTCCTCCTAATTGTCATGTTCCAAATAGGTTGAGGTCAAGGGGACCCCATTACCTAGACTCTTTTTGGAGTAAAGGCAAATGTAAGACCTTCTCAGAAGTCGCCTTTTCACGGATAAATATATATTAAATTTTTGGTTAAATGCTAAATTTGGTCCCTCAACTTTAGTGAGTTGCACATTTTTGGTCCCTTAACAATTTTTTGCACTTTTTTGATCCCTTAACTATACGAAATGCACTCCATTAGTCCTTCTGTTCATTCCGGCCGTTAACTCGCTTATGTGGCATTTTTTATAATTTTTTTTATGATGTGGCAAAAATAATTTTCAAAAACGTTGATGTGGAATTTTTTTTTAAGCCAACTCACTGCCAACTCACTGCCA